ATCATGACTCTGAACCATTTGAGTAAAACTCCCACTGGTTCTAATAGATCAGATATCGAGATCTTGTGAGTCTTGACTCTGGAATTTCAGACAGTCTTCAACTTATGATTTGCTCTGTTCCTTTGGAAGGCATCTGCTTATTATTTTGATTCTTATTTTATGAATATCACATTCTTAGACATTTTACATCTTATGAACATTATGATACCAAAATCAAGATAACTTTAACTTTAGGAAAGTTCTCAACTTCTGAACAGTATTGGGTCTTCTTGAACATATGTTCATAGAGTATACATCTTGGATTATATGAACAATCAGTTTTTAAGATATTAAACAAATTTCTTTCATTTTGACTTGTCTTAGAATTCCTAGTGAACTCGTTCAGAGTTCCTCAGTTAATTAACAAAGAGACAAATACACGTCAGTGGTAAATGCATATTTTATATAATGAGTTTTTGTATTTCTTTTAGGTTCATCAAAATTATTATACTTCTCCCCCTTTTTGACATCATCTAAAAGATAATTATGCATGAAAAAAATTAAACGTCAAATGGATTTTATCCTAATATTTCATTCGAGGAATTTCAGAGTACATTAAGAGAAAAGGCTAAAATAGAAGAAAACTTAGATTTTCTAAAACATTACATACAAGATTTCAATCATCAAAATCTTGAATTGTATCAATCTTAGCACACCTTTCTTCAACCAATGCATTATCCGGTCCATTTTTTTATCAACTCCCATATCCTATCTTGGATTATTATCTCAGATAGTATCCTTCCATAAGGAATATAGGATTGAATCCGTGTTCTTGATATTTCAATGGAGTGTTTCAGATGGTTAAATATGGTTTTGGGAAGGTTGATCTTGAAGTGATGGATCAAGAGGAAAACAAAATTTTTGTCATCATGAGACAAAGTGCTTCTTGTTGTGGCTCGAGGAAGGAGGTTGGAAAGGAAGAACATGAACCAATTCTTAGATAAAGGAAGAAGGGTTTCAGGATTAGTTGGTTCATATGGTACTGAACTGTCATGAAGAACCCTAAATATTTCAATAAAACTTAGGTCATATTGATAGTTATCAATGGTGACTCCAGATGAGACACACCCAGTGACTCTTACAATGGAAGAGATGGTGACAATAATGGGAAGTCTGAAGATTTTAGACAAAATAGTGTTTCCATCATCACTAATTTTGGCATACTTCCAGAAATCCTTCACAAGGACAAGGAAATGAAGGTGTAAAAAACACAAGAAATTGGGGGTTTGAATTGGGTTTTTAAAATAAAACTATTATTTTAAGAATATTCCCCTTTAAGTTAAAATGATTTTTCTTTCACTCTTGATAATAACAATAAGTAAGAACAAGAAGTAAAGAACAATGTATTTTTATACTAGTTCACTTGAAAATTATCAAGCTAGTCTAGTCCACCCGCTAAGGTGATTTCGCCTCACTTAATCGAGGACTTAATGCACTATAACTAAACTGGTTACAATTTTCACAAGCTACCCACAAGTGACTAACAACCTTTAGACTCGCAAGCCCTAGACTTCTTAAGGATTTATACCTACTCAGTCCTTTAAGGAGTATCAACTAATAATCAACCTGATTATTACAATGCACAAGCTACCCGCAAGTGACTAACAACTTATAAAACTCGCAAGCTCTAAACTTCCTAAGGCTACAAACTTACCAAGTCCCTTAAGGAATATCAAACAACAGTTTGAATACAATTTTTATTTACAAGAGTATTGCTTCTAAAAAGCTAAGTATGTAAACTATTTTATGAACAGTGACTTAATAATGTGAAAGCAATAAACAACGTTTGCACGTAAAATATTCAGTAGTTCGCCTGCTTTATTTCTTAATCTTCAAGCCTTTATATATCCATTAACATAATGTATCCGTTAAGGGATACTCTTGGAATTTCCATAAACATTGGCAGCTTGAACAGTAACGTGGGGGACAAGATGTGCAATGCTGAAACAACCGGCTAAAAATCACCAGACAATGAAGTCACCATCGAACGTCTTATATCTCACATGGAGGGAAAGGTAAACATGAAGAAAACCTGAGAAGGGAGAAGTCACGGTCTTGCGACCGAGAGATCGGGTAAGGGAGTCTGTTCCACAAGGGGAAGGTATTAGCACCCCATACGCCCATAGTACTCAATGATATCCACTCTTGTTATCTATCGTATGGGTGTGTTTAATTTATGCTTACTGCTTATTACTAAGGAAGAATGCATGCAAAAGAAAAGAGAAAATAATGTAGGGAAAATAAATTTGTGCTCGCTTGGGCCCTACCCCAATTCCTACATATCCTTTTTGAGGAATCAGAGTTACCGTAGTTCGGCTCACATGTTTTGTTTGTTTTGTATTTTTTATGAACAATGTTAATTCTGCCTTCTACGCAACTCGACCTTTAGATACTTACACGTTGACACAAGTAAATTAACATGTCCTTACTTAAAAATGGTTTTGAGTTACGCCCTCAAGGCAAGATGCCACATTTGATTGGTTTGTGTTTTTGTACCTTGAAAAAGAGTTTAAGTGTGATTAGCATGTTTTATGATTTTCTAAGAAAAGGAAAGTTTTAGTTTTAAATGCATATGCAAAAAGGGGAAGAAAAGAGTCCACAAGAGACTAACCTATTTCTAATCTTAATGTTATCATACAATGGTAGTCCAAAGGTTTAGATTAACAAAAGGGAAATGTCTACCTAATGTTAGCATGCATGGTTTGCAACCTAAGGTCTAACTTGCATATGAAAGAAACAAGCAAATCCTAAAGGAACATGGTATGGAAAGCAAGTGAACAAACAAGCTCGGAAGAGAGCACACATAAAATGGTAAAGAAAAGAAGCGAAATGCTTTAGTCAAAGGGAGCGTATCACTTGAGATAAACAAGCGGGAGTGGAATATAAAAGAAGAGAAATGCTTTAGCTAAACGGAGTGGATCACCTGAAGCAAACAAGCGGGAATGAGATGAAAAACAAAAATGTGATGTCCAAAGCGACTGAACACCTAACCAAGATATAGAAGATCGAGGTAGGCGATAGAAGGCAATATGAACAATCACAGAGTATCAACATTGGCAAATGCGAACTCCTGACAAAGTGTTAGGGTTTGATTGCAAAACCCTTTTCCACTTGATGACTCGATAATGAGAGTAGGCATAACTCCGAAGCATCGTGGTGTGTCATGAACTAAGGATGACATAAACGAAATTGCAGGGGTTGATTTCTTACCCTTTGTGCTCTCCTTCTTTTGAGGACTTCAATAAGGGATGGGGGAATAATACGGACACAAATGTAAACACACGTGCGGAATACCTACACAAAGGTAGGGTTTTAAACAAACCACACATAAGTAGCACACAATGGTAAACAATTCAGAATTTCCCTAAACAGGTCTTTAAATAAACCAGAGGGGTTCTTGACATGATCAGCAACGAAGACCCCCGTCATACATCTGTATCCTACTTCTCATGGCATCAGAAAGCAGTAAAGTTCATACTTCTCATGATATCTAGAAAGCGATAAAGAAACACGATAAAGTGCGGGAAAATGTAAAAGCAATAGCGGCGACTACCAAAAGCAAGCAGATCGTTGAAAGCGGACGAAAGCAATGGAATAGCAGGGAGTGCGCGTCGAGCACGCTTCACCAAGAAACAAGCAAAGTCAGAAACAATATCCAACTAAGATAAAAGCAAACGCGTGTTGCGAATGCAACGCGTAATCAGAAGTTCTTGGACAAAGTATCACAAAATATCACATGCATCTAGACATATAATATGATATGAATTTCTCAGGACGGTGAGAAATAAGGAGTGTCGCATCGGAAGCAAGCAATCACCATATGCTTCGATCACATAACAACTTGTTATGTTACATGATCGAAAGCACCAAAAATGTACCTTGCATAATGAACAAAAGCATAAAAAATAACGAGGCATAACAGTAAGAAAATATGAATAAAAATTAAAAGGAAAAGTATTTTTTATTAGTTTTATGTGCGGAAAATTCTTGCAAAACTAGAGAATTTATTCCTAAAATCAACTAAGAATTTTTAACAAATTTATTGAATTTTTACAATTTTATCATAACAAAAAATAGAAAGAATTAAAAGAAAGTCCTAAAACAATTAGAAAGAGTCGGGGGTGAAAATTGAAACCCAGGAGTGTACAAAAGCAGACGCTGAAAGCCCAGTCAGCTTGAATCCACAAACTGTTTTTGTAAGGGGAATTAGTTTATGCCAAAAGAACCTATGGAGCTAAGGGGAAAATGCTGTCTGACCCATCCTTCAACCAACATCCAAACCAGATTTTGTTGTCCAAAAAATTAACACATGAACCTAATGGACTTCGGTCCAGTTTGTGGCAATAAAGGCCCAACAGAAAACACTAATCCATAAGCTGCTTTTTTTGTCAAGAAAATTGTAAAAGAATGATCCAAGTAGCAAGTGCTGGTGGTGAAGCGTGGGAATTGTATTGTGTGGCCCAAAGCATGAAGTCCAAATTCCAATAGCACTCTCATTAGATTATTATTATTAAAAAGAAGAAAAAAATTGAAAGAAAATATTCGGCAAGCACAAAACGGTGAGGTTTGAGGTGTATTAGGGTTGAACTGCCATGACTATTGAGATTTTATCGAAGAGAACTCATCTCCTTCTTTGAACAATACAGCGCTGCACAACACCTTCCATCACCTTCCTCTACTTCGACTCGCTACCGCGCTTCACTCTATTCTCAACATCTCCAACGTGTTTCACCGATCTTCCTCCTTCTCAATCGTCACTCTCTGCTTCGATCACCAATGCCCCGCTACAACTATACCTCAATATTCTCTTCTTCACCGATCCCTTCTTCTATTCCTCAAATCTAAACAATCCTGGAGAAGAAAGCCTAGAAAACTCGAGGAAGAATCAAACGATGATAGAATTAAATCCGGAAACGAGACCCTAGGGTTATGAACCAACACATCACAGGCTTCGTGATGATATGAAAAGTGTAAGAACGCGTGAAGGGGATGGTGAAATTACTGACCTGATAGCGGCGTCAATGGCTCGTAGAGGAGAAGAAACCCCAAAAAACTTAGATGATGGAGGTAATATTAAGCTTCCTTTATTTTTCTTGTTCTTGCCTCTACTTTGTGATTCTTCTTTTTTCCAGTTTATCGCTTCTGTTTACGGGATTTTTCTGTTTCCTAGTGAAGGAGATTTATGTACGATGAAGAACTGATACGTTCTTGCTATTGCAGTGAAGATCCTGATCTTGCAACGATGGTGAAGATAATGATGTTGTAGAATCGATGTCGTTGATGCGATACGATGTTGTTGACATGATGTCGATGCTGAGAAGAGTTGCAGAGAATGAAGGTGATTGAAGAGTTTATGATGGTGATGAAGCTACGTGTAGATTAAAGTTGTAGTTGTCGCGATGCAGATTGAAGATGGTTAGAGATTGAAGGTGGTGAAACAGGTGCAGTGGTGTTGAAGATAAATGAGAAGTTGATGAGAATTTCAGAGGATTTGAAGTAGTGAGGAGTGAAGTTGCAGAGATAGTGCAGAACAATGAAGATTGAAGAATGGAAGCCAAGCTTTTGAGAGAGGTTTCAGAGATCTTTTAGTGTGATTCTCCAAGATTGAAGAATCAAGCCATTGCCCGGTAAAATTCTGTTCTCCCCCCTTAGAAAACAATTAGGTTTTCTATTATATACCTCTGTCAGAAGTTTGTTAGCAGCAGTTAGGGGGTTAGAACTGAGCTGGAATTCGGTTAGCTGTTTGTTAGGGAATTGTTATGCTTAGTTTTTTTGTTAACTGTTAGATGATCAGTTAGTTGCAGTGAGCCGTCAAGTTGTTTAGAAATTTTTTATATCAGCAGGAGTTCTGTTAGGATGGAAACTATTAGTTAATAGAAGTTAGTTATGCGGTTTCTATTGCAAGTTAGTTAACTGGTTTAAGGTAGTTAAAATTCTGTTAGAGGATTCTGTTAGTAAGTTGTTGAAATTTTGTTAGAAGTCATTTTTGTGAGCTGTTAGTTTCGGTTGAATAATGAGGTTAGACGAAGTTAGTTATTCAGTTTCTGTTTCCTGAGTTAACAGTTTTCCCCTTCTGATTTAATTCTTTTTTCTAATTTCTTCTGATATTCTTCCCTTTTCTTAAGAGCTGAAATATGTTTGGATATTTTCTCTGCATATTCCCAATTTAATTTTCTCTGAAATATCTGATACAATTTATCTTTCCTCTAATTTTTCTGCTATGGAATCAATATGCAGGACCGACTTAGTGACTTATAGGCAAGGCATGAAGTTGATGAAGAGGTGGAATAAGGTCTTGAAATGATGAAATTTGAAGATTGGAATGCTTAGAACATTAGGATCTAGATTTAGTGTTTTTTCTTTGTGATTTTGTATGTAAAATGATCTTTCACTTGCAACGAATGATGTGATTTTGTAATAAGCTTGCCATTAATTATGAAGTTCACATATTCAACACCATTTTTCCTTTTAAACGTACTTTTTTTCTTTCGAAAATAATGATGTAGCCTTTAAATAAACCATGGCCATTGTTCTTCATGTGAGGCATTCTTGTAAGTGATCATGGCCTCAGAACTTGTAATGGAAGTATCTTTATGCCTCTTGAATCACTACCTTGATTATACACCAGAATAAAATACTCTTCAAGGCATCTTTCTAGTCTCCCTAAATTTCTTTTGATTTTGAAATGATGTTTGATGGAATAATGAGACCATGAAGTATGAAGTCCTAATGCTTTGATTTTGAATGTCCAAGCTTTCTCCAATAGGAAATCTTGAATGAACCAAGACATAACTTTGGATGAACCTTGATGAATAACAACCAATGAAAGCCTTAAATCTTTCTTAATACTTGAATGATGGAACTTCCCCATTTGATACTTGAAACTCGATGTTGAGAATGTTGGACAATACTTGAAACAAAAAATCTTGATTATCTGAATTCAACCATGATGTATTGACGAAACCTTGCCTGAATAATGAGCTCAATCATAGAAAGAGACGTCGTGTTAAAAGACCATGAACGCGAGTTCACAACCCTGAGTTCTTGAAAACAAAAAAAAAAACTGCAATTCGATGTTCAGAAGAAGGTGATAACCTTGTAGTTTAATGAGAGAAAGAAGTTCTCAATGATCATGAACTCAAGACTCTAGCTTCAAACCAATGAATGATGAACAAACCAGTTGAATCAACATTTGAATGAAGATGAGAGCCTAAAAGTACAAAGAAACCCTAATTCCTCAATATCCTTGATCCCCTACCAAACCTTGTGGTTAGTGAATACATGATGTGTTAGATGACCTAATGGATGCTATGCACATGAAGATAATGGGATGCATAAGCCAGATAAAAGTAAAAGGGTAGGATAAATTTGGGGTATTACAGACACGTCTGTCCTTTCATAGTAGTGGAATGAAATATTTATTGTACCATGTACTATTTATACCATGTTAATGTTATCTTATTTCCTTCTGCACTTCAGAGGCTTCTACGAGCATGAGTTTAGAAGCGATAACATAACATCAGGTCATCAGAACTTCAAGTCTTCAGAGTATTCAGAATTGTGTCTTTAGATTCTTCAGCACTTGGTTATGAGAATCTTTTCTTCAAACCTTGGGTCTTTAGAACTTCAAGTCTTTATAATCTTTAGACCTTTTGTCTTTTAGAGTCTTCAGCACTTGGTCTTCAGAACCCTTATCTTTAGAACTTCATTAACATAAACACAAGTTTCAGCATTTGTACTTTAGTAGAATCTTTGTCTTCAGATATTCTAACTATGTTTCTTTGTAACACGTTGTCTTTAGAAGTTTGAGTCTTCAGCATCTGGACATAAGTAGAAACTTGAGTCTTCAGATCTTCTGACTGGTTTCTTTAGAACAACTATCAGAGTTTACACTTCATAGCCTTCTGGAGTTTCTTACTACTGTTCAACAGAACTTGTGTAGCATAGAAACAAAATAATTTCTCTTCTAATGTCTTGGCCACGTCATCCATCAGAAGCTGAACCTGCTTGTTAGGTACTCAACAATAAAAAACATTAGTATAACAATTTTTTTCATACAATCATACTCATTTGTTATCATCAAAACTCAAAGATAATATTTCAGAACCAAATCTTGTTCTTATAGGAAGATGGGACCTCTAAGCAGAGAAAAGTAGCCTGTTCAGGATTGAATTTGCATACTTCTTATTAGGTCCAATCCATGGTGTTTGAGTCTGGGAAGATTGGTTCGTTTTTCTTGAATGATTTCAAGAGTTTCCTCATTGCCATGAAAAGTTATAGCAGACATTGTTAAATCAAACAAAGGAAGATTTAAAGGGTTTTCTATTTGAACTGAGGATGATGAAAGGTGAAGAGGAGACATCAACTATTTATAGAGATTGTTAGAGAACCTAGGTCAACATCTATTAGAAAGGATGTGATTATCTTGGTGAAGACTAGAGAACCTATATATATTGGGAAGAACAATAGGTAATTAATCTTATTTATGAAGAGAATATTAAACGAAAAGAAGTTTGACAAGTACCCTTTAATCTGTGGGAAAAGTAACTGACACACGCCAAATATTCTTAGACCTATTTCTCAGATACGTATAAGAGAATATATTGTCTTGTTACTTTTCATTTCATGATAGTGCATAGTTAACAAACAACAATTTATCATGAAATAAAGACTTCATTAATTAAGACAATTCAACAGATACAAGTTTAAAAATGAAAAACTAATCAGATAACATGATCAAGCAATAAAAAAATCATACTTTTGAAGAGACAAGTCATATTTTCCTAGCTAATGAAAATCTCGCAATTAGATTTTAACAATCAATCTTCAGGACAGTTTTGTGGACCAACTTCTTCTAACATTTCTTTGAACATATTCACTATTCCCTCTTGGAAAATAATTTCAGACAAAACTCGTCCATAAGGAATGTAAGACTTTATGTAATTCCTGGACGCAAAAAAGGATTTCGAAAGATAGATGAAGATGGATTATGGAAAGCTTACACGACTATTATTCATAAGAAGAAAGATGAATGCTTGGTCATAATACCTCAGAAGGTCTTGATTATCCCCTTTGGGAAGAAAGTTGGACAACACAAGCTTGAACCAAGCTTTGGGAATAGGTAGGAGATTTTCAGGGTTAATAGGTTCATATCCTGATGATGTGTCATGAAAAGAATCAAATTTATCAGACATCACAAACCTATACTTGACATAGTCAACTGTGATACCTACATTTTCACATACAGTTGCAAGAGTGACTGAGAAGGGAGTAATGGTGATGGTAATTTCAAAGATATAGGAAAGGATAAAACCATTCTCATAATCAAGATAAGCATGCTTTCAGATTTCTTTAACAAGATTCACGTAAACAGGTTTCTTCAGCATAATGAAGTATCTTGTCCATTGTTGATAATAGAACACATCTGAGATGTTGGAAGCAATGTTACTTTCAAGAGAAGAAATTTCAAGTTGTTTTTCGATGGTAATTTCAAGAAGATCTTTATTTTTAAGAAAGGTTGGTTGAGGCATGATAAGCAGATGAGAGGAAAGATCTTGATAGGAATTAGTTTATGAGTGGAAAAGATAAATATGATAAATCACTGTTGATATATATATATATATATATATATATATATATATATATATATATATATATATATATATATATATATATATATATATATATATATATATATATATATATATATATATATATATTCAAGTGGGTGAAAGAAGTTGTACTAATCTATAAGAATGACATAGATCACTGACACATGGCAAGAATTTCAAAGAAGAGGAATGGAGTGAATTAGTATTTATAAAGACAAATATCACACAGGTTCCAAATAAGGACTCTGAGTGAACCATAATTTAGAGATGGAAGATGGGAAACTAATATAGCAAAATATTAATCATAGTTGCTTAAATGAAGAGCTATCATCACATACATCATACGTAAAATTTTCGACTCATTTTCAAGAGAACTTACGTGTTCACATTATCCATAGAATTGATTAAAATATTCTTCTCTTGGAAAGAGTTTCAGATCATGAGATTTTCATTTAACCAGAAAACTCACAACTTGGAGTTGCACTAGAAATTTGGAATGCTTCAGTTTAAAAATTCTTCTAACTTGTAGAAATATTTTTATCACAAGTTCTAATAAATTATAGATAAAAGAAAAACATACCTTTGAGATTTTTAAATTTTTACCGTGATTCTTTTATCAGAGTGCTTCTACATTTTGATTTTGACTTTAGCTTGTCTCAAATATATCTTCTGATCTGGCTTTGTCATGTCTTTGAAGATCTTCCATCTGTCGTTAACTTTAGCTTTCTCTTAGATACGGCTTCTGATTAACTTCTTTCTTCTTATGCTTTCTTCAGAGCGGTCTTCTAGAGGTTTAGAATTATCTTCATATTGATTCCTCTTATTCTAAGTTTTCTGATTTGAGAAGAATAGCCTTCTTCTGAACTCTAATCTCTAATTTGGGAACTAGGATCAATTTTCTCTTCAAATGATTTCTTCATTCTTCTGTTTAGAATTACCCTTCTGACTTCTTGAGAGTAATCCTCAGAGCACAAATATTCTGATATTTTATTATCAGAATCATCCATATGTTTATCAAGCTTCCTTGAACAAAAGCTTATTTTTAAAAGGTTAATAATTCATGAACTTCTGAGAGGCTATGTGCTCGAGATAAAGTTAACTGTCATTTCCTAGTGTCTTTTGAATTTCTGATTCCTTGATCAAATTGCAAAATCTGTTCTAATACAAATATCATTAAACTTTGTCGATTTTGACTGACAATCTTGTTCTTGCAAATTTGAGCTAACTTATTTCGAGTTAGTCTTTGATCATACTTCAGATGAATCAATGAGCGTTCTTTCCTCAGTAATGTCTGGTCTTCTGTAAAGCCTATTTTGACACAACCAATGATTAGATCTTCTGCATAAGATCTTTTGTCTTCTTAAATGGACAACTTTATCATGAAGTTATTATGTATTATAAGACGATATTCTTTCTTCTTATGAAAAGATTCCTAATGAGATCTTATGAGAAAGTCAAGGGTGGAATAATCCGTTTCTTGAAAACATCTCAAACTTCTCAAGGAACTTAATCAAAAGCATTCAACAAATATAACTTCTTATCTGATGAATCTTTTATTATTAGCTTGTTCTTCAATCTTCTGATTTTAGACAGTAGTTGAAGATTGAATAATTATCACCTTAGAGTATTTCTTTACATAGAATCTAGATCTTTATCTGACATTGTTAGGTGTTTGATATCCATCAATAACAGAACCGGGCTAGGATACCAATCAAAGGTGTGAAGAAAATGCAAGAAAGAGGGGGGGCGAGGTTGAATTGAGTTTTACTTTCTTGAATAACTTTCGCTTCTAGGCATTATTCGTTTAACAATGCTTCTGAGTGTTACTTCTAAGTAATGCTTCAAATAAAGTTAAGAAAATATAAACTCTAAAGCATAAACAAAATTAAAGAACACACTATATATCTTAGTTCACTTGAAAAACCCCCAAGCTAGTCCAGTCCACCATTCCAAGGTGATTTCGCTTTGAACTCAAGGACTTAATCCACTATAACTAATATGATTACAATCGCACGGGCAACCACTGGTGACTAACATCCAATAACGCGTTCAGGGATCTAGACTGGATATAACATTCATTGACCCAATAGAATTCGATTCACCAGATTCTCCTACCAGGATTTCCTTCCAATGATATCCATCAGTGATCTCACAAAGTTGACTTCCACTCAGTCCCCTTTGAGATATGACTACCATTGACCCAATAGAATCCATACTAGGCCTTCATCTATGATAAGCCGTAACCAAAGTCTTCTTGAGA